AAGCTAGCGGTAGAGGTGGTGTCACCACCCTCCCAGGGTTGTGGTGTGAATAAAACTGACAACTGTTATAGGGTTTCTGTGATTATTATTATTTTTTTTGCATTTTCTTTTTCAGATAGGGTTGGGACTATTTGGGTATAGGGGTTTGAGAATCTAGGTGTTGGATTCTTTTAGTTCTAGCACTAAATTGATGTGGGACAAATATGGTTGATTATCCAATTAGGGACTTGGGGGATAAAATCCTAGAAATGATACATAGGTAACATGTAAGAAGTTTTAGATATCAGACTTAAGAGTTTGATTGCATCATACAACCAAAAAATAAGAAACTTACAAAAATATTATTGAATAACTGAATGATCTAATGAGTGAAATTACAAGATATTGATAATAATCTCTAAGCAATTTTTATTAAACATAATTAAAATAAAAATAGTAAATTTGTGGGATTAAGAATATTAATCCCAATTAAAATAAGAAATTAACACCAATAATATTAGGAACATTAATAAGAAAAAGGAATCCTGAATTACTGAAACTATAATAATATTTCTTAATAATATAATAATAGACTTCTAAATAATATAGTTGTTATACATTTAATATAATTACAATTTCTAATTTATTTAGGAGATCTAATGCTACCCCATTCTGCATCAGTTCTTGAGGGTAAGTTGGGAACTGCAAAGTGTTACTTTCATTTATATTCTGAATAGCTTGCTTTTTTTCTACCAAAATCTTTGCAAAGGAAATACTAGATGTGGAAAGCTGGGAATGAAGTTTGGTTATAATCCAGAAAATTTAACGCCATCAGGTTCTTCAAGCACAGGTGGTTGTTTTATTGATTAAGAATGTTAAATAAAAACCACGTAGCATTGAAGGATCACTTGATGTATGTTTTGTATGCACAATTGTAAATGTTTGTGATTTTGACACCTATACTTGAAACTCTACTTGTATGTCACCATCTTTAAGGCAAATCGGATGGTGTTTTGAGTGGTTGGTTGAAACACTACTTGAAGATTATAGTTTCAAATATGTTGATAAAATGATGACTGTTTCTTTCCTTTTGAATTGCCCATTTAGTTCTAAACCTCATGTAGGTATTTTTCACTTTAGGAACTATGTAGATTTTGTTCTTGTAGCAATTTTTTACCTTAGTCTGCAACATTGCTGACCATAGAAGGTGTAAATAATAGTAAGAAATTATAAGCTGGCCATCAGAAGTTCGGGAGATGCATGATATCATATGTATCATTTCAAGCACAATTTCAAGCTCACAATTGTACTAGATCTGTTAAGTGTATGGATTATGTCTACAATCAAAGGTCTCAGCAATATGGTGTTAAGTTGCCTACTGCAATATGCTAAATTTCCTAGATATAAAACATGTTTCGTGTGCTATTTTGTGTGCCAGGTGCTTTTGCTGTCATTTATATTTATTTTATTGAAGACTTTTCTGGATTGGAATAAATACATAAACAGTTTGTAATTGAATGTTTGAAACGGTGATCTTCAGATGTCGGTTTTACCTGTTCATCCCCTCCCCCCCCAACCCCCCTTTTCTCTTTTTTAAGTGGGCTGTGTAGAATTTCATGTGGCATTGTTCTTTTATATTTTTTATTATTTCAAAAAAAATTGTTCTTCTATATTTTTTAAGAAATCAACATAGATTTATGTGTCCTAATCAACATAGATTTATGTGTCCTAACTCCCAATCTCTTCTTATTCATCAGTTCAATTTTAGTAACATGCTTACAATTTAACCTTTTTCTTGCAGGGACGACATTGTGTTCAAAGATCCTCTTAATACCTTTGTTGGCATCGAAAACTATAAGTCAATTTTCTGGGGGCTACGATTTCATGGAAGGATTTTTTTCAGGGCTTTGTGGCTTGACATTATTAACGTATGGCAACCTATGGAAAATGTCATCATGGTCCGCTGGACTGTTCATGGTGTTGCACGAGTTCCTTGGGAGAGCCATACTCGGTTTGATGGTACTTCAGAATATAAACTCGACAAGAACGGAAAGATCTATGAGCATCGAGTTGACAACATCGCTCCGAGTTCACCTCCAAAGTTCCATGTTCTGGCTGTTCAAGAACTGATTCAATCTATCGGTTGCACCTCTACCCCGAAACCAACTTACTTCGAAGTTGCATCTTTGTCTTCCGAAGTATCCTAAATCTTTCAAAATTTTGGTATTACTTTACTATGTTTGAGCAAATACGGTGATGAAGCTTGGGATTGTGGTTCACCGTGTCCGTGTATAAAACCCAGTTGTAGGTCCCGTGGGGACTTGAGACGACTCCGGTAGTGCTGTAAGTATCCTAGTTTGATCATTTGTAAATGCGTATGGTAAATGTATCTACTTGACCCTAAGGCTTGGAACCCAGTTACCCAACCAAATACAATATTGTACAAGAATCATATATAAAAGTGACCTTGTATATCCATATGCAATGCAAGTAATATTGACTTTTATTCCTAAAAATTGGTGGATTCTAACAAGAAAATTTACAGATGATGAGGTGTACCTTCCATTTTGATTCGTCTCCCATGGTGCTGCAGCAGACACGATGATGGAGAAATTAATGGTGGTTATTAAGCTTTGTCATGTTGTGAATGAGTGTGATGAAAAACTTAAATGAGGGAGCCACCAGTGCAAGTAATTCACCAAACTCATGAAGAGATGAATTATACTAATTTTGCCCAACTCCACTTGTTAAGTAGATTATAAAGATGTTTGTTTTAGTTATTATTATTATTATTAGTATTTTCCGTAATAAGTTTTAATATATTTTTTTTCTTCTATTTCTTATCAAAATGTCCTTGAGAAAATTATTAAATCTTGTTTGTGTTATTTTTAGTAATTTTATTTAACATTTTAACTTATTTTGCTAAATTTTTATTATTTATAAATAAGTTATAAGTTAAATAAACATATATTATACAAATTTATTTTCAAGAGTTTAAGTCATATCCATTATTAAATTTTTTATAAAAAAAAAAAAATCAGAACAAATGATATTGAATAGGTACAATTAAATGTAGTATTACATTTTTATTAATAATTTTAAAAAATCTTAAATGAGTATTAAATATTATTTATATGAAATTCTTAGCACAGATATAATAATACTAAATGAATTTGTATTTGTTGTATAAAATATATATATATATTTTTTTAAAAAAAAAAGAAATTACAGGGGATGTAGATGAGAGTCTATTCATTTTGGTCCCCCATCAAGCTCAAAAAATCATTCATTATATGGAGATGAGTGGGCCATGAAGTCATAGAGTCTATTCATCTTGATTTAAGCTTTTTCCTACTATAATCTAATTTTAGTGCAAATTACTAATTTAGTTTTTAAATTACTCTTTTATAATTTAATTTGGTAATTTTTTTTTGTTATAATAATTTATTCTTTAAAGTGTTATAAAATTGTTTTAAAACGTAAATTTTTCATATAAAATTATGAGAAAGAAATTTAATTCTCTTTTTTCTTTCTTAATATATATTATTATCATACATTCTTTAGATTTAGATTAGACATTAAGTTTATTTATTACAATTTTAAAATTTTATTACAAATAAAACCTGAGGAAAACACAAAAGGAAGGCAATGCCCATTTGGGCATTTTGGCAGATATGATGCACAAAGACAAGAATCTTTCCATGGTACTGTTTTATTGTCATATGTCTGAACTGGACCATAATCAACCTAACTTCCCCCCCCTCCGACACCGACTCACCATCACACACACACACACACCTTTATTTATTTATTTATTTAAAGCAATAAAAGTATTTTTCTATATCTAAAAATTAAAATTATCTTTTAAAATCTGAACCTAAATTTTATTTTATTTTTTCAATTTACTATCTAGGAAACAAAGGTATTTTCGTCTTTTCAGGTAATGGGATTCTTGCCGTTAGCTTGTTGTTTTAATACCCCCTCTCCTCTGGCTTTGAAGTCTGTCAACCACCGCAACTACACATATACTCTTTCAATAAATATGAGCCTATTGACTCAATTTCTCTCTCTTTTGATAAACCCATGAAAATAAAACAAATAATATCCCACTAAACTCCTTGGAATCGCTTCTACTTCACTCCCCTTCTATCTTCTCTCTTTCTCTCTCTCTTGGTTTGCTTAGCTATCCCACCAAACCCATCTCTCCTTCTTCCCCATATTCCGAATTATTAATGCAATAGTATAATATTCATGTATAAATAATTAATGGGTAATGGTTAAATTTCATGCTCTGTAATTTCTTTACTACTTTATTCCCCCCTCTTCAAATTTATTTCATAGTTGGTGACGAAGTGAAAGAGAAAAAAAAAATGGAAGTGGAGGAACCCAGGCCACATAACGCCGCAATGACCTTCGATGAAGTCTCCATGGAACGGAGCAAGAGCTTCATCAAAGCCCTGCAGGTGCACCTCCTCGTTTTTCCTTCCCCTTTTTTCTAATTATTATGTGTGTGTGTGTGTGTATATATGTTGGTGTGTATCTATATATCATATGACCAATGTGTTTGTTATGTGAAAAGATTTGAATCCATTTCATATATTTGTATGGATTGTGGGAACCAGATCTGATCTCTTTTACAATTACTGATTTTATTATTACCTTTTGGAGGTGGGCTTCTCTTTCCTTTTGTTTTTTTTTTTATAAAGAAATTCTTCTTTTGGTCATTCTGTGTGTTTGAGGACTGAATTATTGATATAGTGGGTGAAGTGAAGTTCTTTCTCTTAATGTTTTATGATACTTTGTTGAGGGGAAAAAAATTGCTGCCTTGAGTGGGATAAATTTATTAGATTTATTAAATTCTCGGGTGAGGAAGCAGAAAAAATTCTAAATTTAGCTTCGAAACAAGGTATAATATAATATGTGGTAGAAAGAACTCTATTTGTTTATAGATGAAAAAAGTTTGCTGTAGTTTTTCCAACGGCTGCACTTAACTTGATGGCATATGTAAAGAACAGGTTAGCTTGATGTGATAATATTGATTGGGGAAATGGAGTAATCTTAATGACTAAGTTGATGGTTTTGGACTTTTGCAGCGGCAATCATTTTTGTATTTTTAGACATTTCTTATTTGTGTGAGACAATGATTTTAGTATTTAGGGCATTTGTCTGTTTGAATGTTGGGAAAGTTCAAATACAATGATGGCTAGCTATATAATAGGAATTTGGCAGCTAAGCGTTAACATTCTTCGATAAAAGATTTCTGTAGTCTATGGATATATGATGATTAAGAAATGCATGGATTGAGACGATGAAAACAGACATAGGTCAACCTCACAAATGGTTTAATTTTCAACAAATGTTATTGCATTCATTTCCATATTTAACAAGCTTCGATATCTGAAATTGAAGAGGATACTGAACTTTGATTAGGCATAGCCTAGAAAATGGGGCTTTATGAAACTATTTTTCTCTTAATACAAAGAAAGTTGAAGGCACAGAACCTGTGGATTCTGTTTGTAGTTCATGATATGGAACTTTTCAACCTAGTAGGTTCATCTTCCTATGCTTGTTGACTGAATTATATAAATCTGCATTATTTTTTCTTTCTGTTGGACTGATCTTCTGATAAAACTTCTATCTACAACCGATAAACTAATAGCCTTTTCCTTTTTAGAGAAATGGTAAAGGCATTGTGTGGTGTTCTGTGATTTACTCCTCAACTTGTAACTTGTGATTTGGATAGTTGTACTTCAGGATTGCTGTAGGTTGCTTGAAATGTTAGTATTTTTGTTTATATGATGGAGGAAATTCATAGTTATCAGGACTTAAATTCGTTTCCTGGTTTCATGCTAATCCTCTTGCATAGTATTTCAGGAGCTCAAAAACTTGAGGCCTCAACTTTATTCTGCTGCAGATTACTGTGAGAAGTCTTATCTTCATAGCGAGCAGAAACAGATGTAAGGCTTCCTAATTCGATTAAATGGTTTAATTCCTTGCATTTGTTTTGATTGTGTACTTTTATTATATAAGCCGGTTATTAATTTTTGCAATCAAAGTCCATGTTCTGTGGACTTTTTTTAAGTTTAATGAACATGAACTGCTAGTTAGTGACATTGTGTTTCATTTGCAAGGTTATCAGGTGATAATTTTTTATTGGCTTGCATCCTATTCTGACAAGTTACATCAATATTATTTAATTAGGGTACTGGACAACTTGAAAGATTATGCTGTACAAGCACTTGTTAATGCTGTTGATCACCTTGGTACTGTGGCTTACAAGTTAACTGACCTTCTTGAGCAACAAACTTTAGATACCTCAACAATGGAGCTAAAGGTTTCTTGTTTGAATCAGGTACTTGGTTTGCATGTTTCTCAACCAATTTGCAGGTCTAGAAAGAGTAGTATAATAGCAGGCATGAAGTTACCTACTTTCTTGATTTTAGAAACTCTTTACATGCGGAACATTCACTGAGATAGAGGGTCTTCGACAACAGCGGCTATTGGCATTCATCCCAAGACATCATAAGCATTATGCTTTACCAAGTAAGGCTGCTTATTGTGCACCTCTAAAAAGACAATTTCTGTGGTTTATTTTCTCGTTCCTTTTCCTTGTCTCTCCTTTTATTCTCTTTGCTGTCTAGATTCTGTTAGTAAGAAGGTGCACTTTAGTCCACAAGCACGGGCTGATGCTAGGCAAAATCATTATCAAGCTAGATCTCATCTTCAACCTTCAGGTATAAGGCTTTCTCGTGGTATGTCTTGACTAGTTGTTTATTTTGAATTCTTTTCCTTTCTGACTGGATACTGAGGGTTGGTTGCATAGATGCCCCTGCATCAAAAAGTCTATCTTGGCACTTAGCCTCTGAAACTACTTCTACATTGAGAGGGTCTTCACAACCAGCACCAAGGTTTGTCCATAGAAACTCTTAGATAACAGTTCAATGATGAATGAAGTTAACTTTATTAAGTAATCCCCTTCATTGCTAATTTTTTGCCATTTCTAAAAATTCTTAACCTTGTTTACCGTACAGCAAGGAAGATCAAAAAACAACTGGGACTTTCCATCTTCTGGGTAATAAGAGATTCATTACCTCCCTGCAACCATGTGAATAATAGATACTTATATATATGATTGTCTGAGCTTTTAACTGTGCTTAACTTATGTCTTTTATGCATGCAGATAGCGAAGAAAGCATAAAGAAAAAATCCTTTGTGGCTCCTGCTCAGCTGTTGGGTGGAGGCCCAACATCCAGTGTAATGATGCAAAAATATGGTGTGCACAAGGTAATTAGGAGATTAACATTAACATGGATGTACCCATCAATTCTTTCATGTGTACAAGCTTGATAATAAAAAATTGCAGCAGATATATTGTTGTTATACTCTTTGAATCTGTTTTGAGTCTTGACTTCCTTTTATCAATCTTGCTTTATCCCCTGGGCAATGGAAGCATTTTTGGATCATGTTTCTTGCTTCTATCTTAAATGATACCTTTTCCAAGACATCTAGAACATCTATTTGCATTAGCTTCTGTGGTACGTGAACTTATGTTGCTCCTTTATCTTCTGTCTCCTTTTGGCTAAAATAGATAAATCCAGGAAAATGTTTCTTTTGCTCGGGCTAATTACAGTGTTACCAAGTGGGTAATTGCTTTCAGATTTGGATAGTCTGTGTTCAATACAGGCATGCATAATTGGAATAAGTATTCATGACCAGATAGCAAGTGAAGTTTTTGAGCAGCCTTGTTTTCCTAGAGGTTTCTACCACTTCATTCAGTTGGTGATGGCAAGCTGCTGCCATTTTTCAATAGTTTTCTAGAAGAGTTTGGGGTTTTGAGGTTGAGGTTTCTTCTTCTCTTGATCATCTGGCAGACTATTACTTCATAATTGGGGGAGTTGCCATGCCAATGGCCCTAGTCAAAAATGCGTGCTAGGCCCTTGAATTCTGTTGTTTTGGTGGGAAACTCATATTGACATCCATGTCCTAGGCCCTTGAATTTTCATCCATATGAATAACCTTCTACTTCATGAGTTGGACAGAGAAGGTGCTACACACCATTTCTGACGAGAACAATGTGGTGGATGATGTTTGTGAACTCAGGGATTCCGTGTATTCACTGGATTACATCATAGGCATGAAACAGCTCTGACGAGTCTTCATGATGTTGAATACTTATGTTGGTTTATGCTATTTTGTAGATGTAGAAGATGTCTTACCTGTAATTCTTCTGTTTAATAATATAGTGAAATTCAGTTAGCAAAAAGGAAAAAAAAGTGAAACTGCAATGAGAATAATTTCATATATATATCGAGCTTTGCTTTTTTCTGTGAGCTTTCTTGGAGTAGAAGCACAATCACCAGGTTGGTTCATCCATTCACACCTAAAGTATGTCAAACATGCATGTAATATGACGAATGACTCAAATATTGCATAATATGGTCTTTATTGTACAAATTCTCAATTGATGCGGATGTTTAATGCTTAATGCATATAATATGCTTGTCCTCAGACTCCCATCCCGTTAGATTAGAGAACTGAATTCTAACATGATGCCTGCCTTTTGCAGGATTTGGAGGGTTCCAAACCTTTGACAGCATTCGGATCCTTTGACAATCCAAGACATGAGACTCTACGTGCTCCTGCTCGCAGCAAAAGCATGCTATCAGTTTTCTTCGTTAAACAGAAAACACCGAAACTGAGAGCTGGATATGTCTCATGAGTTGCGAGTTTCTTACTGAATCAAGCAGAAGATGTTGTCCCCGAGTACAAACTCCTGTGTCCTGTAATTATGATCTCCTGTGACCTGATCAAGTTCTGAATATCAGATATAAAAATTGCACCTAAATAATGAGTAAATAGCACATAAAATAATGTGATGAGAAAGATGGGGGAAAGATTTATTTACTCACTGATTGTTAGCTCTGACCAACTAGTCTTCTATTTTTGTTGCAGATCCTCTCTAGACATTTCCTTCTACCATGCTTTTCTGTTGTAGATGACCATGAATATTTTTCCTGAAATGTGAAAGTGCTACCTTTGATACGGGTCATGTTTATAATGCTCTTGTATTTGAAATGCCTGTTAATTACTTTTATTGGTAGTAATTAAAAAAAAAAAAAAATTTGATGGGCATCCATGTTTAACATGTTTATATTCTGTAATAATGATTAGCCTCACTTGTATATCTGTTTTCCTTTATATGAAAAAAGGATTAGATCAGTCAGTGATTAAGAGAATTTAATCATATTTTAATCTTAAACTGTTTATCAATTATAAGCAATATGTTTTATTCAAAGTTTTGTTGGTATGTATGTATGCCTTTTAATATTTGATCACTGCCTTTTTTTCCACCAAAAAGTTTTTTTTTGTAAGAAATTAAAAAATTCATTTAATTTTATTTATAATTATCATATTAATCTTAACATAATTTTTAATAAATAAAATCTTTTAAAAAAATTACTATTATAGAAAATTTAATTGCAACCATTTTTATATCTACATCTTGAATTAAAAAATAATTTAATTAAAATATATCATAATTAAAAATCAGTCTAATTCAATATAAAAAGTTGATTTTATAAATGTTATAAATGAACAAATGAATTTATTTTTTATTTTTACAATTTCCTGTTTTGAGTCTTTGACAAATAATTATTTTTACTGAAGATTTTTTTAAATAAAATTCTACATAATTGTTTTGTTTGTCAACAGTTTCGAACAGATTTTTTAACGATAATTTTAAAGTTTCCGTGTAATGGACTGAACCGGACCGGTTCACTGTAATTCTTCCGAACCTCTGTTACACTTCCATTTTCCCCACAGTTCTTACTGTCAAGGGAGACTCACTGTCACAGATCCGATCTCAAAACTTCCCTTAAACCTTCATTGCCCTTGTCCTTTTTTTTTCCTTATTCCTTTTTTTTTTTCTCTCACTTTTAGCTTCTAAATCAAAATATTTTATTCAATTAATCCCTATCCAAGCTTCCGGGTTGCTACCTTCGTTCATTAATTTTTCTCTGTTTCATTTGTGTGATCACATTCTGTTTCGCTTCAAATAAAGCATTTCATTTTTCCTTTTCATACTTATTGCCGGCAAAGATGCCTCAATCCTTGCACCAAAGATCGAATCACAATCTTTTTACAACTCTTTACGCGATGTCTCCACGTTCCTCGTCTAATTCACAGAGACCCATTTCGATTTTCAGCCGAACAGGCTTTATCCTGCTTCTTTCCCTCATGATAGTACTAGGTGTATTCCTGCCTTGGGTAGGGATGCCGGAATTCTTGTTCTCCAATTCCAAGGTTTCTCTCTCGAAATGGCGCCACTACACGCTGGCTCAAGCCGCGTCGTTCGTCGCCAAGAACGGGACTGTGATTGTGTGCGCAGTGAGTCAGCCTTACCTGCCGTTTCTCAATAACTGGTTGATAAGTATCGCCAGGCAAAAGCACCAAGATAAGGTGCTTGTCATTGCTGAAGATTATGCTACTCTTTATAAGGTTAACGAGAAGTGGCCGGGTCATGCTGTGCTTGTACCGCCCGCTCCAGATTCACAGACCGCCCATAAGTTTGGTTCTCAGGTATAATTCTTCTCTGCAATATATGGTCTTTCTCTTTTCTTTTGTCATTCGTTATTTTGTCAAGGAGTGTGAAGCTTCTGTTTACTCCTACTTTTAGTTGTCACTTGTCCCTGCTCCAACTTCCAAAAGCTGTGTGATCTATAATTTGCCTTGTCTTTCTTTTTTAGTGTGGATGTTAAATTTGTTTCCTCTTGATGGCATCAATGTTGCTTTATAATGAACTAGCTTCATCCAAATAAGCACAATGGTGACCCTGTATTTGTTTTGTGCAAATTTGGGTACCTTTGATTTGACAGAACTTGAAATGTTTGCATGATGATGGCGTTGATGTTTATACCTACATCTTTTATTTTGGTTGATCTAGAACGGGGCTAGTTGTGGAGCTTTATGTAAATTGGAAAGATGTTATTCCCATGCTTCTAGGAAGAAATGTGCTTTTTAATTGTTTTCTTCTTCTTTGAGGTGTTTTAGTAGTATAAATGTCTTATTGCATATGATAGTTGGTTTTGTTCTTCTGAAATGATCTTTTATTGATTCCTTTGTAGGGGTTCTTCAATTTTACATCGCGAAGGCCTCGGCATCTGCTTCACATTTTGGAGCTTGGTTATAATGTAATGTACAATGATGTGGATATGGTCTGGTTAAGAGATCCCTTTCCCTACTTGGAAGGAAATCATGATATCTACTTCACAGATGATATGGCCGCAGTATGTATATCAACTTTGCTTCCAGCTTTAATGTATTTTTGCTATGACTTCAATTCCTTGCCATGTTTTTTTAATTAGGGCATGGAGCAGACAGTGACAAACCAATATTTTTAATGGACCGAAGAACAAGTTGGGAAAGATATTAATATCTATTGAAAGAGAAAAATTTTAGCTTTTTTTTTATCCTATGGTTGTTAATTGGTACCAAAATAAAATTACAATTATAGTAAATTCACTGTGCCAGTTGCAGCCTGTTAGTACTGAAAACTTAGCCTTGAAGAGAAAAATAATCGCCTTTACAGTAGTTCATTGATTGGTGAGGGAAGGCATATGTACTTTAAATCAAATGAATCCTAGATATGTTCTTTAGAAATTTAATGAGAAGCATTCAAACAGAACTACTTCCATTTTACGTCTGCCCGTATTGTTCTTACTTCTGCATTTTTGTTATGACAGAAAGAGCGGTGGCATTTGTCATGATATTCCTTCACATGTTGTCAGGAACTTGCTTCTTTAACAGCTTCAAAGAACAGATTTGGTTCAGTATTTTAAGGAATTTTAAGGTTGAAAGAGGCAGATTAGGGAGATTGATAGTAGATGTAGAGAAGAGTGAAGGAAGAGAGAAAAGAGAGAGAGTTAGAAAGGATAAAGTTTAAGGTAGATTATCATTTCATTTCTTCATGCCCTCACTATTACACCCTAGAATAATATATGACATTACGTATTCTGCAGGAGAATAAAATAAAAATAACAACTTAGTACTAGGTACAATGAACTGCTGGATAACAGTGTCCTTTTCTACTGGAATTCTTCCTGGCTATTTCCTAACAGAATAGCATAAAATTAATACTCTAGCTAGCCTTTTCAGGTCCTCACACATGTTTCTTTGTGGGAAATCAGGTGAAACCCCTGAACCACTCCCATGATTTGCCACCCCCTGGGAAAAAGGGCAGAACCTATATTTGCAGTTGCATGATTTTCCTTCGCCCCACAGATGGAGCTAAACTAGTTATGAAAAAATGGATTGAGGAGCTTTATGCTCAGCCGTGGTCAAAGACAAAGAAATCAAATGATCAACCTGCATTTAATTGGGCTCTAAACAAAACTGCTGGGCAGGTATCTTCCTTATGCCTTCCAATTATTGCTAATATCATGTTCTCAATGAGCTATATTCTTACTTATTACTTGTTTGACTTTGCTTATGTATATATTTATGTTGGTCCTAGTTGATGAAGATTATTTTTTATCCAAGTAAAATTTCACCCACGTTTAGTATTGTAATTTAAATTCTATAGTTTTTTTATGTGAAATTTCAGTCTCTAGCACATTAAGAACACATGGATTGAATTGCAAAAGGTTAAAGCATAATGAATGAAAGTGTAATTTTTCCTTTTTTATTCTCCTGCAATTGATAACACATCTTATTTCCCGTATTCAGTCTCATTTAAATAGTTTCTTTCTGGTTGACTCATAAGTTATCTATTCCTGGATGTTTTTATGTGGCTAGTTTGCTGTTCGACTTATAAAATTACCTTTATCTGGATCTTTATTCTGCATGTCATACAATCAGTACCCACCTTTTCTGTTTTTTGTTTTGGTATGTAAGTGTAATTTTTCCTTTTTTATTCTCCTGCAATTGATAACACATCTTATTTCCCGTATTCAGTCTCATTTAAATAGTTTCTTTCTGGTTGACTCATAAGTTATCTATTCCTGGATGTTTTTATGTGGCTAGTTTGCTGTTCGACTTATAAAATTACCTTTATCTGGATCTTTATTCTACATGTCATACAATCAGTACACACCTTTTCTGTTTTTTGTTTTGGTATGTATTATCCTTTTTTTTTAGATAAAAAAGAATTCATTGAGACCAAGAGAGGGAAATACAAGAAAGGAGAATAAGATATCCTTCCAGAAGGAAGGAAGAAACAAAGAAGAACCCAATTGACCAAAAAACAGCAGCGAGAAGAAGAAAACAACAAAACAAAAATCTAACTATCGTAAACAATGATCTCCCAGTTTCATTGAAGATTGGAGATAGAAAGTCCCTGGTAGCATCTGTGCCCTTTAGTCCACAAAGATGCCAATAAGAACACCCTATCCCGTAGCTCAAAATGTGGGGTAATTCTGTTATTGAAGATTCTTGAATTGAGAACGTGGCAAATACACCATGGGCCAGCAAATAAAACACCCTGCCACGAGGATTTGACATTCTTCCTCAGTCCATTCCCATCCAAAAAGGTAGAAAGGAAACTCTCCAGAGTAGGGGGCACCACCCGATCAAGACCAAACATATTAAAAATATCAGTCCATAGTTTCCAAGCCACCTGTGAGTGAAGAAACAAATGTTCATGTGTTTCTCCATCATTAGAACACATTACACAAATATCCAGAGAAAGGAAATGATAAGGATGGTGGATTTGAGGTAAGTCATTTTTGTTGAGCTTTTGATGATAGCAGTCTAAACAAAGAGCTTCATCTTTGAAGGAACAGGAGTTTTCTGAAAACCCTTGTCAATATAATCTTGCCGTGCAAAGGGGGAGGTTTTGTCAAGGAGAGGCCTGTATAGTTGGTTGGTGAGATGATAAAAAAGGGATTTACAAGTTACATATCCAAGAGATTCCAATTTGCAAAATCTACCATCAGGTTGTGAAAATGGAGTTATAGGAGTCAACAGGTCCAATAAGGATAACATGTCCAGAGTCTCCCTGTTAGAGAGGTTATGAGGAAAGCGGAAGTTCCATGATGTCACATCCTCAATGTGAGTCAAAAATTGAGAAACTGGGGCTTGTTGTCTAGAGGAAAAGTTTTATAATCTGGGAAATTGAGTGGCTAAATGGTTAATTATTTAACCATTGACCATCCCAGAATCTCAGAGCAGAACCAATTCCAACTTGAAAGCATTTATGGGGGAGATAAATACAGTGAACTTGTGATATTGCTTTCCAGGAGCTATGGTGAAAATACCTTCCAGCATAAACATCCCAAACATCTATCACACTCCCGTGGATGCTTTTGATCACCCTATGCAACAAGAATGTGTTTCCCTTGGGAATCACCAAAACCATTAGCCAATAATGATAGGTTTTTTAAATGAAGATTTCCTATCCTCAATCCTCCTAGATTTTTAGATTTATAGCATACCTTCCAATTAACTAAATGATCCTTGTCATCCTCACCTATACCTAAACAAAGAAATCTTCTAATGTGTCCTCAATCCTATCTACCACCCTAAAAAGAATCCTAAACAGAGATCAGTAGTAGAGTGAGATGCTAGAAAGGTAAGCTTGGATTAAGGTAACCCTACTTGCCTAGTTGAAAAGACCCTTCCAACTTTGAAGGCACTTAGCTATCTTGGTCTCTACCTTTTCCTAAAAGGGGATACTCTTTGTGCTGCTACCTAGGGGAACCCCCAGATAGATAACAGGCCACTCCAATTTGCAGCAACCAATCTCTCGTACGATTTCATCTATTGAGACATCATCCACATTAATTCCTATAAGTCCACTCTTACTTAGATTTATCTTAATGTCTGAAATGATCTAAAAAACCTGGATTAGAGTTAAGACACGAGGAAGAGACTGATTATCATAGTTCAGGAACAGGATGGTATCATCAACAAATTGGAGATGGGAAACTTCTATACATTCCTTGTTAACCTTTAAGCTCTTCACACACTTTCTGCCTGCAATATCATCCTACTCGATACATCCATGACTAATGTAAATGGAAAAGGGGAAAGTGGGTCTCCTTGCCTCAAGCCCCTAGAAAACTTAACCCAATCTTTTGGTTTCCTGTTCACAATCACAGAGAACCAAGTAGAAGACAAGCTTCCTTTGTATCCACCTTCTCCATCTAGTCCCAAATCCCTTTTCTTAGAAAACTCTAAGAGTCTCTAATTCACATTTTGTTATGTATATCTTAATGCTTTTCAAACTTCAGTGAATTTATAAGCATGTTGATTTGAAACAATTTCTACTCATAAAACATGGCACTGAAGAACAGTCTATAGTACCCTTTATAAGAAATAGACAACAGATTAGTGTCTAACTGCTTCTTACTCTCCAGCAGGAGTTCTTGCCTTGCTGCTTTGGCACCTCAAACGAAGTACTAAGCTTATATAATATAAGTCAACCAAGCTTATGTAATTTAACTGTCTTCCTTTGATGGACTAGAAACAAATGATTAGATGCGTGTGCAGTAATTTTGACAACATGTTGTTTCTCATTTTCAACTTCTAGTAGGAGAGTTTGAACATTTTAGTAACTGAAATTTTGATCATTGATTATTACTGCTAATACTATCGATTAATTTTCAACTCTAGCTATGCATCTCTGTAACTGGTTTGCTTCCCTCTGTTCTGGGCATTTGGTTAGTCAATTCTGCATTCTTGGAAAAGCTTTTTGCAACTTGTGAAAATTTTCTTTTTACAATCGAATTTCAATTCATTAGTTTCAATTCCCTCTGTTCAAAATCTTGGCTCATATTGGGGTCATATTCATGCTGTGAAATCAGTAGTAGTGGGTTCCTTTTTACCTCTTTTAGCACCTGTCTTCAGGTAGCTTTTTGTTTTGATTATTCTTTGCTGACAATTTGTGCAGGTGGATCTCTACCTGCTTCCCCAGGCAGCATTCCCAACAGGAGGATTATATTTCAAGAACCAGACATGGGTTCAAGAAACTAAAGGGATGCATGTCATCATCCATAACAACTATATTACAGGTTTTGAGAAGAAGATCAAGCGCTTCCGTGACTTTGATCTTTGGTTAGTGGATGATCATGTCCTTGAGTCCCCACTGGGTAAATTATAACAAGTTAGGAAAACTGTGTAGTCTCTTCCTGCAAAACTTATCAGTCTGTCGAACCATGGTGGGATATTGGTTTGCTACATGAATTATCTTTCTGTCAGTTACCTACCAAGCTGCCAGCATGGAAGGGCAAGGAAGATTATGGAGACCAAGTAGTTAATAATGCTCTTCTCGCGTAGTTCAGAAAATATGTTGAAAGATCCTATTGACAATTTGGCAGAATCATTAGGGATGGGAACTGCAAAGGCTTTCGGAATTGGACAACTCTGTGTAAGTTGTTCTTTTATCGTGTGGAAATGGTATCTTCCCATCTCCACCTACCTTTGCATGTCAAGCAATTTTGTTATAAATGGAGTCAGTTTTTCGCCGGGCTTGTAATTTTCCCTCTGCCCTGCTATGCAGCAAGTTTTCTTAGGTATTAACTGGATAAACTGCAGACTTGCGAGGGATTAAACTTCTGTTCATTATTTTGATTGATTAAGGGAGAGTGAACTTCTTGGTTTAATTTTTGATATTCCTGGGTAGATGTTGTTACAAATTCAATGGCTAATTATTGGTAAATTGCAAAGCAGTCCGTATAAACGCATTGAGCAATTTTTGTGAGTTAAATTGCGTGGCAAGCTCGTTAATCTTGACTCTGCAATGCCAACCGGATAAAATTTATGTTCATAGAAACTAAACTGGATAAATTGAACTGGCTTAAGACGTCTCATTGTTTGATAAATTCTTGAACATTAACCAGGTAACCATCTTCTTGCATCAAATGATAGAATTCACAAAAAATTGCCTGGAGGTGGACTACAACAGCATTTGTTTTCTGATCATTTCCAAAATTTGAATGACAAAAACAAAAGGTTTTAAATTGATTCATATATTATATATATATTTTTTAATATAAATTTGATCTCTTTTAAAAAGTTTTTAATTCAACTTTTAATTGTTAATGCATACGGAAATAATACATAAATTCAAATTGGACACGGGTTGTGTTTTGGTTAAATTAATATTTATGCCATATGTATCTAATGATCTTAAATTTGATGTGGAAAAAAAATTAATTTTTTTAATTATCTTTAGTGAAAAATTTAAATAATTAATAAATAAAAATACTTAAGTTACTCACAACGTAATATCTGAACTTTGGGTCAAAATCATTGTATACGGGTTAATTACTTTTTTTTTTTCTTTTATGTTTTTAATCTTTTTTATTAAGAATTTAAAATTTTTGTCTATACTAAATATATGTTATTATTTAACGTGAATATTGATACATAAATAAGAATAAGAACTTGAGTTGGTGCAACATTTTTACTAACAATGTTAGTGAACATTAACGAGTAGAAACTGAATCAAATTTTTTTAAAAAAATTACGATAAATAAAATATTAAAATAAAAAAAAAAACAAATTTAATTTAGATAAAATATTACAGACATCAATTCAGTATTTTTAGCAAAAAATACAGGGTTGCGGCGGCAAGACTGCAAAAATTGCCGGACTACAATTGCTTGCGATTCAACACTAAATAAATAAAAGTAAAGTTGCGTCTGCCGGGAGTCGAACCCGGGTCTATTGCTTGGAAGGCAATTATCCTAACCGTTGGACTACAAACGCTTTCGACGAGCGAGGTGAATTTAGTTTCAATCTAAATAATATTACTACCGAGAGAAATTAGTACCCCGGTCATGTTGCTTGAAAATGCAATTATCCAATCGTAGACCAGAAACAATAACAGATTGGCACATAACAATTTTATTATTTATTTTTCTCCAACCACAATAATTTTTTAATAAAATATATATTAATACCAAAATGTCATGCCAACCTCGTGACGTTTGTTGTTTTCTTTATTTAAATATCCATTAATTATTATTATCATTATCTTTAATCCTTAATTAATCACGGGAATAATTCCCCGTGTTGAAAAAAGAAACCTAATTATTTTCTTCATATTTTTCCTTCCGTTTTCTTCCCTCAATTAAATCTCATAAATAAATATTTGAGAAACATTTTTTTTTTTTTTTAATAATATCAATTCCCAAATATATAAATTGGAATATAAAAATTAAAACAACGGTTGCTTAAAAAGACAAGCCATCGATAATTAAGGGAAAATTAGATTTTGGAACCCCGGAGCCGAAATAGCTAAGTCTCCTTTACCTTTCATTTTCTTCCGCCTCACCAAAACCTCGTTGTTTCTACCAAATCTATCTCCTGTAATAACCAGACCTACCGCACTGTTAATCTTCCTCCTCTACTCTTGCTCCAATGACGATTCAATCCACGTCACCACTCTTCGCTTCCTTTCTCATCTTCCTCCCTCGTCTTTTACTAACCTCACTGACATCTCCCGAATCTTGTATAACTTGTCTTCCTTTCTACTCTTAAGTCACACGCGCAGTCCTTTTAATCTGAAAAGTCGTCCCTCTGTGTTGCTGGGTGATGTTGATGTACGTGTGATCTCTGTTGGGTGGTTAATTGTTTTTTTTTTTTTACGGAGCTTTTATCAGCTGTTCAGTGTCTATCTGTGCGGGAATGTAAATGGGTTCTCTGGAGAGTGGAGTTCCGTTGAAGAGAGACTATCTTAATCGCTCTTCTTCTACTGGAAGAAACGAGAGGCACTCTTTTCTGCAGAGACCGAGATCGAGATTTTCAAAGTTTTTGCTTTTCAAGAAGCTGGATTACCTCCAATGGATATGCACTGTAGCCGTCTTCCTCTTTTTTGTGGTCGTTTTCCAGATGTTCTTACCTGGGTCAGTGATGGATAAATCAGCAGAGTCATGGGGAAGAATGGAGATGGTATCTGAGGATTTGATGTATCTAAAGGAAATGGGTATTTTGGATTTTGGTAGTGATATTAAATTTGAACCTTCAAAGATTTTAGGGAAAATCCAGGGAGAAGTCAGAAGGACTAACTTGACATCTAATTTCAATCGAACACGACAACATTTTGGTTATAGAAAACCCCAGTTGGCATTGGTTAGTAATCAAATTATTATCTTTCCTGGGGTCATTTTGTTTTCTTCAAGCGATTTTGATCAGTAGTTCAAGTTTTAGACTTGCTTTTTTTCCTCCTTTCAAGATGCATGTTGTTGACGGGTCTCTGATTTTTCTGTTCTTCACCGATTTCCTTGTAGCTCAATTTTAGTTTGTTTTTATTTTGTCTCTGTGGTCAACTTCGGGATTGATGGCTTATCTTCTTGTTTTTTTTTTTTTTTTCGGAGGATTTACTCAACTTCGCTTTCTTTTCGAAGGTGTTTGCTGATCTATTAGTAGATCCACATCAACTGCTAATGGTGACTGTTGCTAATGCACTGCGAGAGATAGGTTATGCATTTGAGGTAATGACATTGTCCATCTTTTGTATAGTCTAAACTAGGGTGCCTCTCTGTTGATTTTATTAATGCTTCTATACTTCTGTTTGTAAAGTTAGAAACTGAGATAATTAGCCTTAGTCAATAAGTAATAGTTTGTGAAGATTTAGAACTGTTTCCTTTAAGGTCCTTAGTTTGTTTGCTTCTCTGTGCTGAAAATCTTGTCTCTTTCCTCTTCTCAACTAATTTTACTTTCTAGGGGTAGTAATAATCTTAATATTTCAGAAATTTTGGATTTTTGCTTCTAGAAGTTTCAAAGTTTAATGCACTTGATTTTTTGCTTTAACCATCATTTGATGCACGCTAATTTACAAAGAGTTGCGTTATTTTGTTATCTTGCAATACAACCTTGGGTTTTTTTATGCCATGTAGTGTAGGTAGTACTTCACCGTTTCCCTCTTTTACCGATCAGGTATATCAATTCGTATTGTTTTAATGTCTTTTGTCAGGTTTACTCACTTGATGATGGTCCTGTCCATGGTGTTTGGCAAAACATAGGAGTTCCAGTCACTATTCTTCCAAGGAATCGTAAGGAGATTGTTGTTGATTGGCTAAAGTATGTGGCTGCTGAAATTGTAAATTGATATTAACTGATAAATAATTAAATTTACCTGTAACATTCGGGTAATTCCCCTCTTGATTTATCAGGGTATTTTCTGTTGAATCACTGACTCTCCTGCCCCCAATTTGAAGCCTTTTTATACATTGCTTATGTTTTACATGTACATAGTATTTGGTTGTGTTTGCTTAGTTTTGTGATTTTAATTTACATAATATAATTTCCTAGTTCTCCATTGATAATTCATATCTGAACAAAGTGTAAATGCATTGAAAAACTTAATCAGCATGACTCTAAACCCAGTGTTGCATCTGTTTGGACACTTTTCTTATTCAACATGGTTGAACATGATTAATTGAGTTGATGTTATAATTTTCTCATTATATCTAACTTTATGTATGTTTTTTGCAGCTATGATGGCATACTTGTGAACTCTCTTGAAGCCAAGAGTATCTTTCCTAAGTAAGATTTCAGTTCTTGACCGAGATAATCTTCCAAAAATAATTAAAATCTGCCTTCAGGTTCTTTGTATCCACTACTTATTTTATATATATATAATTTGAGTTTAGAGAGATACCGTTTGGTTCTCCTACATTAACATTGACCTGTATGGAAATATGTAATAGGCCTATCTTTTTTTTCTTTTTCTTTTGTGGAGTGTAACTGGCCTATGTTTGAGTTTTTCATAGTTAAAACCAATAAATTAATGAAACAGGGTGCTTGGTTATTGTATGACTCAAGGACTTTGGCATTGTTGTTTTAAACCTAGTTTGGCCTGAAACCTGGAATATAAAGCTGTCCCTGTTCATGATAATTAACATCATTGTCAATTGGTGTTTTAAGTATATTGATGGCTATTTACTGTTTTATTTCATCCTAAATTTTTGTCACCATTGAGCTCTTAGTGCTATATTTTTCATCTGCTAATGTTTATGTTGTTTCTTGTCAGTCTAATGCAGGAACCTTTCAAATCTTTGCCCCTTATATGGATCATCCATGAAGGAGCACTTGGTACTCTTTCAAGAGAATACAATTCCAGTGGGCAGATTGAGATCCTGAATGATTGGAAAAAGGTTTTCAGTCGTGCTTCTGTTGTTGTCTTCCCAAACCATTTTCTGCCGGTAATAACTTTTGCAAAACATTATTTTTATAATTCTATTAACATGTCAGTAGTTTTCCAGCTTGTTGCACTATATAAATTATTTTTTTTTAGATAAGTTGTACTATATAAATTATAATGTGTCAAGTTAAAGTTTTCCTGAATTAGACTCCTTGCAGAAGTAATATTGTATTAGTCTTTATGGGAAATATTATGGCCAAGTCAGAAGATATGAATAGAATGTTGATCAGACTGAAAAATTAATCTAAAAGAAATTATACTGCTGTTGGTTGTATGATTCAACTGAAACTTTGATGTCGAGCTAACAATCAAGATCAATGTAATTTTTTGAGGTTGAAGATTAAGGTTGAGATTTATTTCCATTGAGTTGATTTCTTTTCTGCACCTTTTACAGATGATTTACTCTCTGTTTGATACTGGTAACTATTATGTTATTCCTGGTTCTCCTGCTGAAGCATGGAAAGCAGAGGCTTTAAAGGTGTTGGACAAAGATGATCTACGTCTCAAGATGGGATATCGTGCTGATGATCTTATTATAGTAATGGTTGGAAGTCAGTTTATGTATAGGGGTATGTGGTTGGAGCATGCCCTTGTTTTACAGGCTTTGTTGCCATTACTTGCAGACTTTCCTGCTGATGGTAATGCAAATTCCCATTTGAAAGTAATAGTTTTAACTGGGGATTCAACCAGTAATTACAGCATGGCTGTTGAGGTATAACCTGCCTGGTAGACATTGCTTTAACTCGCATATGAATGGCCTTTTTCTGAGCTTCTTCATTGAACCTAATTTTAATTAATCTTGTTTTCGCTCACGCTATTGCTCATAAGTTAAGATATCCTAGAGGCACTGTACAGCACATAGCCATTGATGGAGATCTTGATTGGGTACTTACTGTTGCTGATATTGTGATCTACGGATCCTTTCTTGAGGAGCAAACGTTTCCAGATATTTTGGCAAGAGTTATGTGCTTTGAGAAACCAATTATTGCGCCAGATCTCTCTGTTATCAAGAAACATGTATGATCCTAGCTGCTGCATTTTCTTTAGATTTCATGCAGAGAGAGTCACTAATTGCATTACATGCACACACATGCATTAGCAACTAAGAGTCAACTAAGGGGATACATTAGTGACAATCTTGAGAGAGGTAAGATGGGGTTGATTCTGATCTATGGTTCTGATGATGGCATTATCTTCTGTGTAAAGAAGGGACAGCATTTCTTTTTGCTGTGGGCTGAATGCATATTCTTGTTGAATTGGTGCATCAGATTTGAACCCGATTCTTTCTCCTTGCTGGCGCACAAACTTCTTAATCATTTGTCTTTTTCTCCCTTGTCCACCTATCACTCTTGGACACTTAATTGACTAGCTATCCTTGTCCCTTGGTATTCTGAAGTTTCATCCACATAGTTGTAAAGATATATATGTTCTACCTTGAGCAAAGTCTTAATGACATTATGGTCATATAAATATTAAAGCCCATCTTGAGTGGATCTTTTCATATAACAGTGATTCATGCAGCTCAGTTTGATGTAGTGGCTGTATCTCAGAAGAAAAGGTTTGAATTAGCGATAATAGTGTCTGATGCTTGCATGGATAAAGATGTGGAATAACTTAAATATTTAGACTGTTACTTTTTTTTTTCCATTTTTCCTCTGTTGTCATACATTTCCTTTGTTTTCAGACATTTGTTGGTTCTATGTTTATGTTCATTAAGCAGCTCACTGACTGCATTGGCAATAACAAATAGGTTGATGACAGGGTGAATGGATATCTTTTCCCCAAGGATAATATTAGGTTTCTGAGACAGATAATATTGGAAGTTATCCCAAGTGGTAAACTGTCTCCTCTGGCTCGCAATATTGCCTCAATAGCAAGAGAGACTTCTAAAAACCTGATGGTTCAGGAAACTGTTGAAGGTTATGCTTTGCTACTTGAAAATGTTCTCAAGTTTTCATCAGAAGTTGCATTCCCCAAGACTGTTAAAGATCTTTCTCCCAAATTGAGAACAGAATGGCACTGGCATCTATTTGAAGTTTTCTCAAATTTGACTTATGAAGACAGAGAGTTAAGAAGTTACAGATTTTTAAAGAAGATCGAGGAGGAGCAGAATCATACACAAGAAGAGAGCTCAAGTTCTACTACTGCTACTCACGATTCATTTTTATATGATATTTGGGAGGAAGAGAAATATATCAGGATGGTCAATACTAGAAAGAGAAGAGAAGAGGAAGAGGTAGACTTTTAGTTTGCAAAACAAGTCTATCCTTCAATCACCTTGTCTTTTTTAAAAAATAAAAACGAGAAATTGTTGGGGTCCTTTTTGTGAAGTTTTTGTTTGGAATTTTTTGCAGTTAAGAGATAGAAGTGATCAGCCTCATGGAACATGGGAAGAGGTATATCGAAATGCCAAAAGGGCTGATCGGTTGAAAAATGATTTGCATGAAAGGGATGAAGGGGAGCTTGAAAGAACAGGTCAACCATTATGCATCTATGAACCATATTTTGGAGAAGGAGCATGGTCTTTTCTGCATCGCAATTCACTTTATCGAGGAATCGGGCTGGTGAGTTTGGTTATGCCAAGCTAGATTTCGAAATCCTTAACGTGTTTACTTCTCTATAAGGAATGTTGTGTTGGATAATCATTTTTGGGGTTGTTTTGACGGAGCTGGTGCCTGGTAAAACTAATAAACATTGTAAAAATTGTTTTAAAATGGTAAAAATGCTATAAAATGGCTTCAAGCAGTATTTGGTAAAACTTGTAAAAAGTACTTTCAACGTAAGATACAATATTTTATTAGTTAACTACATTATAAAATTAATAATAAATGTTGAGATAATAAAAATTACATTACAATGAAGCTAATTGTTTTCAATTATTTAAAATATTATTTTTTTGAAAAACTATTCTAATAATTAAATTGCTTTAAAAGATTTGTTTTAGTTTAATTATTTTATTTATTTTATTCAATATAATCTTAACTTACATTATTATGATTTAATTTAAAGTAAATATAATCTAAATAACCTATATTAATCTTTATTAATAATGAATTAATATTATATTTTTATTTTAAAAATATAAAGTACAAAAAATCTTTTTTTTAACCAAAAATCTTTTTGGCCTGATTTCTGCTTTTTGACTGCAGAAGCTGGGCCAAACCAGCACCTAATTTGCGTAAGTTCTATAGTTCTTATGCAAGAAGTGGTTTTCTTTTTATAATACTAATTGTTGAATCCTATTTCACAGTTGAAATTAGAAGTGATTTTTTTTTCTGTTAATTGTGATAGTTTATGGCATGAAGGAAACTAGTATTTGTTTTATGAGCTATTTCTTTTTGTATAATGATAATAATACCTTTGTCCTCTGGAGGTTGATGACAAGGTAACTTTGAATTCAAAGGCAACATGTTCTTAATTTTTCCTTGTGATCTTTTACAAATCATAAAAAATCAATTAAACATGGAGACAGGTTGTTCTAGTGTTGTCCTCTTCTTTCGTGATAAAATTTGAAGGCATATTGTTTTATGTCCATCGATGATATGCCTCTATGAGGCTGTATTGTACTAGTGGTTTAGCTCACGGTATATTCTATGCTCAAATGTACTGAATTTGGATGGTAATATTGATATTATTTGCTAATGTCATTAGATGATGACTGCATTTGAGCAGCTTTTTTCAATCTGATGAATGCGTGGACTGAATTCTTGCAGTCCACCAAAGGTCGAAGACCCAAGACTGATGATGTTGACGCGCCATCTCGTTTGCCAATTCTTAATAACCCTTACTACCGAGACATTCTTGGTGAATATGGAGCCTTTTTTGCAATTTCAAATAGGATTGACCGTTTACACAAGAATGCTTGGATAGGGTTTCAGTTTTGGAGAGCAACAGCTAGGAAGGTGTGTTTTTTAATTCTGCTCTGCTCTGTATCTGTCAAAACGTTTTGGCTTTCTTTTTCTCATATTTCTGCATTCTAGTTCTTTTTGATGATTGATTGGTAGTCAGAGTTTGGATCACTCAGACTGATCTCGTCTGAACAACTCAACAAACCAGAGTTCCGTCATGAAATTTAAATTCCCACTGGTGGTGGTTCAGCAAGAATATCCTGAGTTCATGTCCGCTGGCCTGCAACCACAAACAACCGTAGGCTTGCAGTTTGCAGAGTTCAATTCCAAAACGGAGAATTAAAATTTTGAGTTTGCTATTATTTTTTAATATCATATTTGGCAAACTGCTCAAGCTCGCTACTGTATATAGTCAATAACACCAATATATCTGACGGAATTACTGCACCCACTTGTCTCCACTTTATCTGTCTAATGCTGTTAATGACTGATGGATTAAATCAAAGCAGTGATATAATTTCTGTGGTTTGATACCTGGTGATCTAATTATTGGCTTTGAACAGGCATCATTGTCAATGGTTGCTGAAAAAGCATTACTAGATGCTATTCAAACACGTAGGAATGGAGATGCACTTTATTTTTGGGTTCGCATGGACATGGATCCTAGAAACGTCGCACAACAAGATTTCTGGTCTTTTTGTGATGCCATTAATGCTGGAAATTGCAAGTAAGGGCTGTTGAATTTATTGCTCCAGTTTACTATTTAAAATTCTACTATTATGCATAAGGTTTTGTAAATTCATCTCGTTCTCTGTGGATATTTGGTCTGATTCTTTCATTTGGTTGAAGGTCTGCTTTTCTTGAGGCCCTTAAGAGGATGTACCACGTAAAACATTTGGATTCTTTGCCGCCAATGCCTGAAGATGGAGACACATGGTCTGCCATGCAAAGTTGGGCTTTGCCAACTAGATCCTTCTTATAGTTTGTTATGTTTTCGAGGTTAGTGTTTGCATTCAAGGACTCGATTTCAGGCTCTCATGTCATTTTCTTCATAAGTTGGAAGATTTCAGTCACATATTAAAGAACTTTCATGCAATTTGTAGGATGTTTGTGGATGCATTAGATGCACAAATGTACGACGAGCACCGTCAAAGTGGACGGTGCTATCTCAGTTTCTCCAAAGTAATTTCTTTTGGACTGTAATGATTAGTTTTTTAGATGACCATTGCACCCTCTCTAAATGGGTTTTTTTTTTTTTATGCGTTTGACAGGACAAACATTGTTATTCACACATGCTTGAGCTTCTTGTAAATGTCTGGGCTTATCACAGTGCAAGACGAATGGTGTATGTGAACCCTGAGACAGGCATGATGCAGGAACAGCACAAGTTCAAGAACCGAAGAGGTAAAATGTGGGTTAAATGGTTCTCATTCCCCACCCTAAAGAGCATGGATGAGGACCTTGCCGAAGAGGCTGATTCCGATCGCCCAACAAGACACTGGTTATGGCCATCAACCGGAGAGGTGGTTTGGCAAGGAGTATTCGAGAGGGAAAGACATCTCCGCAATCAGCAGAAAGAGAGGAAGAAACAACAGAGTAAGGATAAACAGTCGAGAATAAAGAGGCGGAATCGACAAAAAGTGATAGGCAAGTATGTGAAACCTCCAGTAGAGGATCTAGAGAGTTTGAACTCAACAGTGGCAGTACAAAATTAAATTCCAGAGATTTTTGACATCCTCCAAGGTGGGGTTCTAATTTTATATAATTCTTTTATTTTTAATTTGATTACCGCTGCTGGTTTTAGTCAGGAAGGATTGTCATGTAAGAGGGTTTTTGTATGTAATTAATTGCAACCCTCTGGTCCCTGCTGTCAATTCTGGGCGCTCTGTATGCTGGTATTTATTATTTGTAATTTCCCCCTCCTCATCCAACCACAAAATTATTTGTGAAACTCTATTCAATTGTATTATTTGTTTACTTGGGGAGTGGTTTTTTTTTTTTTTTTTTAAATTAAAAGTAAACCGTGTTCTATTTCTATATAGGATTTTCCAATTTTAGGGTTTCAAAGGGATGCCAATGATAACTGTTTCCTATAAATTTTTTTTTTTTTTTTTTTTTTATATTTAGATTTTTAGAAATTGTAATTGAATTGCTAGTAAATCTGCAGATGAGACTTTGTTGATACTTGATTTTTTTTGTATATTTAAAATTCTAATGAATTAAATAGTTTATCTAGACATTGTTTGTTTACTGTGTATATATATATACTTTTAAGTGCCATAATTGAGTTTATTTTATTTAAAAAGTGAATTAAAGAAGGTAAAAAATTAAAAATTAAAAATTAAAAATTTAAATCATTTTAGTTAGTTACGCTTCTTAATATCTTCTTCAAATATGTATAATAATATAAATTTATATTTTTATTATTTTTAAGTTTTTACGGTCAATGTTTTTTATTCAAAACTGTAGTTTTTCTAAATAAAACTTTTTTGGAAACATTGAAAGATTAAAAAGCCCGATAAAAGTAAACTTACAACAATATAATCTAAAACTCACCGTATTAGTTTTTGATGACATACTAATTACGTCATATTTCGGTTAATATTCAGTACAATAAATCAAATAGAAACAGCTAGTCAGAAAAGAAACAAAACATTTGTGTCTAAATCTTGAAATTTTACAAATTATGAACCAATTATTAAAAATTTCAAAAATTTAATAACCAGAAATAAAATTAAAGCATTTAAAAAATTAAATCGATAGATTTTAAAAACCCTTCCGTGGAGGCCCAACTAAAATCCTCACGGACTGCCTTAGTTGGGATCAGTCCAGTTGTCAAAAACGAGATTTCTTCATGGTCCTTCTCTTCTTCATACTCCCTTCCGTTCTGTACCTCTTCCAGGCAAGCCCTAGCCAGTAATCACCCTCCCGGTCTCTTTCTCTTACTCTCTGTTCACTGACAGGCGTTCCTCGCTGCCAGCGGTCATTGTCTGGGGGTATCTCTTCATTCCTCTACTTACCTTCATCTTGACAGCGGCGTGAATCTGCTCCAGCGACCACTAATTCCCATCCGCTTCTGTTTTTTCACCGTCCGATTTCCGCCTTTTTTATGACCATCACTCACTGCTTAGGTACAGCCCTTTATAGCTGTGGTTTCTCATTCCTATGGTTTTTATTCTTTCATATAAATACTTGTCGAAGTTTGAATATGGATTTCGAATGAAATATTTTCTAATCTAGAAAGGCACCCGAGTTGATTTCCAATTTTTAAAGCTAAGTCGGTAGTTTTGTTAAAGTGGAAGTTAGGAATTAAGCATTAGGCCACGCGCATGTTTACTTGCATGCGTTTACTTGGTGTAGGGTTCAGTGGAAATAAATTAGGCGTTTGGTTAGGCTCAGGCTTTTATGATTCTGCGACTGATTTACTCGAATGGACAAATATTAAGTTTTCTCAATTGGTCCCTTTTATGGTTTATGGTATCTATGTATTATTATTGTTTTTCAATATGTTCGTTATCATGATTAACAAGTGTATATTTTGACACAGAGAGCAGCTAAGCAGAGCTAGTTCGTGGATTAACTGAATCTGTGCAGAGAAAACCAGTTTGAGGATTTGAACTTTTAGGGGGTTTTAGCTTTTAAGCGCGCGCCACTTATAAGGATGGGTAGAGCAAAGAAAGCCCAAAAGTTTGCAGTCATGAAGAAGATAGTCACCTCTAAAGCCATTAAAAAGTAAACACTTGTGCTATTTTAATATTCTTTTTTTTAAAGAAACTCTTTTCATGCATTTGGATTCAGCAAATAATTCCTTACGTTCAGCTTCTTGAGAATTGATTTTTCTATTTTTGTTTCTGTTTTATTTATTCAGCTACAAAGAAGAGGTCTTGAATCCCAACAGGAAGGATCTGACCAAAGAAAAACTTCCACGAAATGTGTAAGCCTCTCTACATATTAAGCGATTATATTTTTTATGATTAAGCTATTAAACTTCTCAAAGAAACGGAGGAAAAGAAGCTATCGAACTTGAGATTTCTGTGTTGTTTAATATTGTATTCATTTATGTTGATCAGGCCAAATGTTTCTTCTGCACTTTTCTTCACACACAATGCGGCCTTGGGGCCGCCTTATCGGGTTTTGGTGGATACCAACTTCATCAATTTCTCCATCCAGAATAAAGTGAGTGCTACATAAATTAGTTGTTTATAAAGATTTTGATCATTTTGCTTGAAACTGATTGGGATTTAAGGCGCTTGTGATCTAGAGTTCATACTCTGCCCATTAATGACTGCACCAGATTAAACATTTTCTTATGCTTAGATGTGATGGTGATGATGTTCAAGTCTTAGAAGCGAAAATGATCACATTAATTTCACCAGGTTTCTCCATCTAGAATGAAGTAAAAAAGTGTTAGATATTTTTTTTACTGACTTCAAATTTTCAGGTCTGATGCTTTATGGTAAAAGGGGAACTTGAAACACTGCAATCATAGTATTTTGCATCATTTTATGTCAAAGTTCTTGGTTGATTAGTGATAGTATGAAGTCTTATATTTATTATATTTTGATAGAAGGCTGAGAAAGCCTTTGATAGAAACTTACCGTTAATTTCTTTGTCTTAACTTCACCTTAGTCAAGATTCTATTGAAGAATTATCTCTGTTGTGTTAACAAGAAAACAAAACAACATCAGGTCGTTAACTGAATGAGAGTTTGATTTCCCTTGCTAATATAAACAATTTGTTGCATTTCTTTATAGCTGGACCTAGAGAAGGGAATGATGGATTGCTTATACGCAAAATGTAAGTTTTTAAATTTTTGCTCCTTTCAACAATCGACTATGCTTTTAATTTTTGGGGGGAAGGTTAACTCGTTATATGTATAAATCTAATGTGATGATATAATTATGAGAAAGTTTTTTATTCTTTAAAATAAATAGAACCATGAGAAAGTTGGAGGATGTAATTTGTGTGAATGCGGATAGCAGAATCTTTTCTTTGTCTTGTATTTTTTATTGATTTCTTATGTTCTTTTTTGAATGAAGGCACTCCTTGTATCACAGATTGTGTAATGGCTGAGCTGGAGAAATTAGGTCAGAAATACCGTGTTGCCCTTAGGTATGTTTTCTTGGTTTTATTTTTCTTGATTCCCTAGCAAAATTAAGCGTAGGGTGTTTTAGAGCAATTTTCTATTTGTGCAGTCATTTTTATACATTAAGGCTTAATTTGGTGTGTTTTAGATGAGAAGTTTGTAATTCTATGTTCTCTGTTTTTTATTATTAACATATATTTTTTTATCTGTTGCTATTTTCACATAAAAAGTAGATGAATGACTGGTACCTTATCCGAAATGTTTGTGACAGTGAAGTTGGGTTGTCATTATTTACAGAAATCCCTAGAAATTCATGGCTTAGGTTTATTGATTCTTATCATTCTTTAAGGGAAGTTGATAGGTCCCTTTGTCATTTTTAGGACAATCTCCAGGCTCTGGACGGTGGAGGCTTTGGTTGCATCTTCTTTTCCTTGTCTTTATAGAATATATTAAACATAATTCCATTGACCCGCTAAAAGTGGGAGATGGTTCTAGAGTGTAGTTTTGGGAAGATCCTTGGATTGGTGATCAACACTTAGTCACTCAATTCCCTTAGTTGTTTAATATTTCATCTAGGCATAGTGCTCTTGTTTCATGTTTTGCATCCCTTACTGAGGATAGTGTTTCCTGGAACTTTCACTTAACACGCAACACAGCTGAAAAGGAGACTCCTAATATACTCATTTTGATATCTTTGTTGGAGATGACACATATTAATCCACATCCTGACACAAAAATTTAGACCCTGGAATGCTCAAGCCTATATACTTGTAATCCTTTTTTGATCACCCACCAAAGCCCCACATGTCTCCTGTTCCCTCTTGCCAAGGAATTTTGGATAGCTCCAATTCCTTCAACAGTAATGGTTTTTATTGGATTGCCATTCACCGAAGGCTCGACACGAATGAGATGTTACAAATCCATCGGCTCAATTAGCCTATCTCCGAATATTATGAATAGCATGTTACAGATGGCGAAAATCATTTCCATTTGTTCCTTCATTGTGAATGGCATGGAAGATATGCACTAAGGTGTTTGCGATGTTTGGTTTCCATTAGGCCGTTCCTCCTACAATGGACCGGCTAATACAAACTAGCTTTCAGGGGGAGGGAGTCCTAAAGAGGATCAAAACCACTTGGCAGGGGCCTTGTAGATCCTGGAAAATAAAAGCTCTCTCTAAGAGTTTTTGTATACATATCTTTGCTATGATATAGACAAAAACTCTTAGAGAATGTTACTCCCTCTTTCTGGAAAATAAAAACTCTCTAAGAGTTTTTGTATATATATCTTTGCTATGATATAGACAAAAACTCTTAGAGAATGTTACTCCCTCTTTCTTGAAAATAAAAACTCTCTAAGAGTTTTTGTATATATATCTTTGCTATGATATAGACAAAAACTCTTAGAGAATGTTACTCTCCCCTTTCCGGAAAATAAAAGCTGTCTCTAAGAGTTTTTGTCTATATCATAGTCCTGAATAGGACAAACTAATAATATGCTCAAGGCTTGTAGATCTCATAGTTTTATCCATAGATGTTTACTTTATGTACTTCTAGAGCTTAGAGTGTGATAGTCACTCGGTTCTTCATTTTGGGTGCTCGGAGTTGGAGGGTTTGGAATAGGTTATTCTCCATGTTTGGCATTTTCTGATTCTTTTGCTTGACATGGAAACCTTTGTTTGTTGTTTTTGAGTTTTGAGTGGAATAAAGAGCATATGATGCCATGGGAGGGCTATCCTTGTGGGAATATTGGTCATTTGTTGGCTCAAAATACTAGACTTTTTAAGCTTCTGACTTGGTCAGCTCATGTTATTCAGGATAGAGTGGTGCTCCTCACTTCTTTTTTGGATTAAGTCATGTTGTTTTTCCAGGGTGTTGCTTTATCTATATTGCAAGGATTGGGGGCTTTTTTTTTTAAGTATCTTCTTTGCTTTTCTTTTTCCTTTATCTTTTTTCCACTTGAGGATATGTGGACGTTCCCATCTTGTTTTAACTCTTTTTCCTCCTAAATTACATTTAAAATGGAGAAAAATTATTTCCAAAATAAATCTTGCCAATTTACACTTTGATAATTGAATTAGGATTATGATGCTCAGCATCATCCTGCAACCATTCACGTACAAGAATTTGCCATTTTCAGCTCGTGAGATCATTGGACTATCTTTGTTAACTTTTTTTCTTTCCTGGCTTGAATGTTTAACAGGATTGCAAAGGATCCACGTTTTGAAAGGCTTCCCTGTATTCATAAAGGGACCTATGCCGATGATTGTATTGTTGATAGAGTTACTCAGGTTAGAGCTGTTTCCAGTATATACTCAAATTTCTTCAAGTGGTTGTTATATTAGGTTCATTCTATCTTTCTATTAATTATCCATCTTTTTTGGAATGCTAAAGTTCAAAGTCATACTTCTCTTTGATATCACGTCGTCGTATTCTTTTAAGATCTTCACAATGAATGCTGTAACAATATAGAATCAATATTCACCTGGAGTACCAAATAGAAAACTTACCTCTCGACAATATGGACATGCAGATTCTTATTTGAAAAGACAGTCTCTTACCAAAGAGAAGATATAACTACTAGTAAAAATATTTGTGTTCAAGATTAGCTATAAAAATAGACCAAATAGGAAGGTATGAAATACAACTATTCTAAAAGAAAAAGAAAAGGAATAGATTATCCCCTGGGGCAAAATCTTCTCTTTTGACAAATTAAGGAGATTTCAGATAATCATTGTTAATGGCTGCCCCCTTATGCCTACAGGATAATGAATCCCTAATCATTTTGTTCTCTGGTGTTCTAAAGCTAGAAAATTATGGGGTTCTGATCTCACTTTTCTCAACATTTCTTGAGTTTTCAGCGGATTATTGGCGGATGGAATCTTGGCCTGAGATGGTATTAATGTCTATAAGCATAGGAATAAGTTTATTTCCCTCATTTCTTCAGTTACTGTGTGGATTATTTGAGAGGAAAGGAATAATAAGGTTTTTGAAGATAATGTCTCTTATTCATTTTGTTAGTATCAGGGACCATTGATTCTATATCTCAAGTTTTTTCGTTTAGAGACCTTTCTGTCTTGTCTGGCGAGGATCTAGGAAGTACTATTAACATTTTATGTTTTTCTAGTTAGATTTCTTTGTCTGAACGGGGTAGCACCACTGTCCTTTCAGGACATATATATATATATATATATATATTTTGGTTCTCTCCTAAACAAAAAAGATATAGGTTGTGTTTGTTATGGTGGATAGCAAATCTTTTAGCCTATGTATTTAATGATTGGGAACCCAGAACTATTTGAATATGGTAATGCGCTACCTACCCTAGGCTGGTACTCTTACTGACCTCATCAAGGATGAATAACCACTATGTCGTTGGGTAGTGCACTAAAATGATATTTTTTTGAAATAACACTAAAATGACCATATTGTCCTTATTATTTCTTTTCCAAATCTAACATTCACCTAGCACTAACTATAGAATTGCCACCATCATCTGCTGCGACACTAGACCGGCAGAAAATACTCTTCCACAATCATCTATCACCACTAAATACTATGCACCACAAGAAACACCCGCCCACACCATATGCCCCTGGCTTGGCAGCCAAAAGGTTTCTAATCTTGGTTTGCAGCCTGCAAATTGTCATTATAAAATATATTTTTAGTTTAGTTGTTTATGTTTTATTATTTATATTAATAGTTAATATTTTAAAATATCTTAAGAAAAGGATAATATAGTCATTTAAAATACCCCACCTACTCTCCTACACAAATATCTCTAACACAGTTAACTCTTCCGTATTTATTACTACCTTTGCCTATATCCTACAGTTTTCCACTCTACTCTACTTGAATTGGTGAACTCAGCCTTAGTTTAAGTAGACTAAACCAGGGCTCTTACTAGCAAAAAGGCCGGTGATGCCCCAGATCTGACATGCGGAGGTGGTTGGGTAATCATCTTGATCTGGATGATAGCTTCACTTATTCTTTGAATATTGGGGATTCCATTAGAATTGAGATCAATAACCCACACCCACCTCTATCATATATACGACATTATATGACGCAAGAATGCATGGTCAACACAGACCTAAAATGCTAGGTTCTGAGCTGCAGCCAATATAACCACAACTGGAACATGCACAAGATTCAACAACCAAAGTTACTGGTAGTCCCGAAGATATGATATCCTCCTATAATAGTTAGCAGTACTGAAGAAGCAAGCCCTACCAAAGAAAGAAAAGGACTCCCTTTTAGTGAAAAAAAGAAGTCGCTAGCTAGATGTCAAAGGTGGTTCTGTTCATGCTTCAGACTATCTGGCTAATTATATTTCTTACATATCTAGGTGACTTGAATATTAACCTATTAAAGGACATTATTATTGTGGTTAACAGCATGTGTAGGATGATTATCATTGGCCAGAAGATTGAACATGAAGATGCAAAGCATATTACATGCAGGGAATTTTGTTTCCATAAATATGTTTGGCGTGTTAATAAAGGAAAACCCTATTTGTAGGAAGTTCTTACCAGTGATGTTGGTTTTGAGGGTATTTTGCTTGATGTTGAATATTGATGAGATATTACATCAAACCTAGGTGGAACACTGGGAGCTGTTATCAGCAAAAAACCTGTTGCTAGTCGGGCCCAGATTTGATATGTTTAGATGTGTAGAGTTTCTCTTGAAGATCTCAGTGATTTAAATATACCTATTATATTAGCAGTACTACTGAGGTTGACATCATGTGTAGAATGATTATCATTATCCATAAAATTGGAGATGACCCTAAGAACTGTTGTCTTGATAAATTTGCTTCCTTTATTAGAAAAGGAAAAACTTCTGTGGGAAGTTCTTATCAGTAACATTGGGTTTGAGGTTATTCTGATCTGTGTTGGAAACTTGGTTATTACTGAGGATATTATGGCTCTATGAGGTCGAGCTTGTCTTTAGTAGCTGCATCTAAATGCTTGTCATTGTTGAAAATAAGTATAGCTTTTTTTATTTTAAAAAAGGTTAAATATAGTGTTTGACTATCTGTTTTTCAAGAAATGATATCGTAAATGCTTTATTTGGTAGTTCTGCTTAGTAATAATGCTTTTGAAGAATATTTCAAAAAAGGAAAAATGGTTTTGAAGATTGTAAAATTAGCTCAACTAAGGAAATTTGTCTTTTTTAGAATATAAACGACATATATTTTGTGTTATGTTAGCAAAAAGATTTTAAACATATTTGGAAAGTAATCAAAATAAATTACTTCTGTTCTTTTGGTTTTGTGAGAGTTGATTTGTTGCTTTGATTATTTCTTTTCCTGTCAAAAAAGATTTGTTCCTCTAAGAAAATCACTCCACGAGTTCCATCTTCATTGCCATTATTATATGCTAATTTAATTGGTTTAGTGTGAATGGAACTAGATCCTTGAGAATTTATATATAAAATTTTTTTTGGAGCAATCTTTATTACGTTTTAGTATCCTGCAATATGACATAGTTTGTTTTCCCTACGGTTTATCTACTGGTAACTTGTATTTTTTATACTGGAAAGTTTCCTTTATTTGTTTGTTAATTGCTCTGTATTATTGGAAACAGCATAAATGCTTCATAGTTGCTACATGTGATCGAGATCTCAAGCGAAGGATTCGCAAGGTAAGATTAATCTGTTTTATTTTGTCACTACCGAGGGTAACAGTAAACTCAGATGCACAGGGTTTGCTTTCTTCCTGGCAGATCCCCGGCGTGCCAATTATGTACATTACTCAACACAAGTATTCTATTGAAAGGCTGCCAGAAGCAACAATTGGGGGAGGTAGGCCACACGTTTGTTGTTGTTTATAGGGAACTTGCATTAATTTGTTTTGGTTTTAAAATGCACATAAATTTGAAACTTTTCATACCGTTTTAATGTTCTATGTAAAACTGCTTATTGATCTATTGCCTTCCATGGGAATTTGACATGTATGCTTTTGTGCAGCTCCAAGATTTTGAGGAGGATCATAAGTTCTTTTGGATAACAAAAATCTAGGTTCAAGTTGATTAGGTAAAAGGCCAAACAGCCTTCGTGGGAGCCATATTTTGCTTGTAGTAGATCCATGGCAGAAGATTATGGAACAATATGGGGGCAGTTTCTCCAATAGGCTTATAATAGAAAATGTGTTTCACATGAGTAGTGGTTGATAGATTGTTTTGATAAAGAATTCATCATTTTGTTTTCAATGTTTGGAATTGATGAAAGTATAATTTGGATAGAGATTGATTCGATCTTGTAAAGTGACCCTTCACCCTATTTTTTCTACTTGGCTGGAAGACACATTTTCTAGATAGATAGACACCTTATGTTAGGTCCTGATCTCGTTTTCTGCTTTGGGTTCAAAAAGAACCACAAATTTAATTACAAATTTCGATTTGTTTTTATTGTTGATACTTGCAAGTTTAAATACATGATTTTCTACTTGCTACAATTATAGAGCATAATTTGAAAATGAAAAAAATTGGATAATGGGATACATTAGTTAACGAGAATAATGGAGATATAATGGAGATACTGGATTGCTTATTAAGATATTTTTGTCAACTGATTCAACAGTGGTTTGCTTTCCACGTTTTTCTCAAAAGTATTGTGAGTTTTTTTTTTTAAGAACTGTCCTCAAGATTCATGTTGCTAATTCGTTCATGCAATTCCTCGATGTTCTCCCATGTAGCTTCTTCTTCATTGCCTTCTAGTACTAAGTTGGGGTTTGTGACATCGATAGCCAGGAGGTGAATTGCTCATCGCATTTGAAGCACAATTCGTGTATTTGCTGCCTTTGCATTTCATTCCAAGAGATTTGCTTAGTGGCAGCGGTTGCTACTAGCGTTTAGAATAGTTGAGTGGTCACGACTCGCCCATGTTGGTTAGACTGATTTTATCAATTGAATTGATATTTTCTCATGCGGGCCAAGTTAATCATTTCATTTAAGGACTTAGGTCGAAATATTCTGATCTTGTATGTTATTTTGAGTTTAAGCCCACTAATAAAAGTTTCTACCAAGACCTTCTGCGTTCAGCCCTGAACTTGACTACTTAGTCACTCAAACTCTTTCTAGTATTTGCTTAATGGACCAATTTGTTTTACTCTGAACAAAATTTCATTAAAGTTTTCACTCTCGGTCGGTCCAAACTGAACCTACAACTCCCCTTCAAATACAGTCAAAATAATCTCTTTTTCTTCTTCTTTGTAGACCCTGCAAAGCTATTGCCACCACTGGTTGGCTTTGCCTTTCAGGTGGTACGACGTTAACGCCACCTTTTGATCCGCGATAATACTCTGATGTTCGAAAAATCACTTTATGCAGTTAAACCACTCCGTCGGGTCATTGTCGGTGTAAGAAGTTAAGTTTGGCGAATTTAGAGTAGAATGGGGGTCGACAGCCATCGTCGTTTGGGAATCCTTATTCGTAGATCGTGCGCGGCTAGCTAGGGCTAGAAATTTGGTTGCTATTGGAGCCTTCTCTGCTGGAAGCGACGACGTTTGTGAATTGTTTAAGGAATTCTTCAACCATCCAAAATTTTTTAGTCATTCTCAGTTTCAATCGACTGAAATTGCTCTGCAATCTGTAGATGCAACTTTCAAATTCCCGATTGCATTCCTTGTTGGCGGAAGCTATAACGTTTTCTGCTTTGGGTGCAAAAAGAACTACATATTCAATTGCAAATTTTGACGATGATACATGCAAATTTAAATACATAATTTCCTACAAGCTACTTCCTATAACTGTGGAGTATAATTTGAAAATTGGATAATGGAGATAATGGGATACATTAGTTAATGGGAATAATGGAGATACTAAACTGCTTGTTAAGATATTTTTGTTCACTGCTTTGACAGTGGTTTGCTTTCCAAGTATGGTGGGTTCTTATCACCTTAAGCTCTTCTCTTTTATTTAATGCCATTTGTTTCAATACATATTGTAATTAATTTTATTTTTTTAATCATTTTAATATCTTAAGCTATTATTAGTTTATAACGTTTTTAGACAAAATAAAATTGTAAGGTAATAATTTGGTAATTACAAGTAATTTGTGTTTGGTTGGTTGCAGTAAAAAATAATCCATCACAGGTCTAATAAACAATAACTAGTTATAGATACTGAAAATTAAAGCCACAGTTGACCCAAAATAATAAACAAGTGGTGTTCTGAAGTCAAGATTCATGGCGCCCCATAGACATTAATGAATTACAAATTTCAGTTATTATACGTCTAATAATTATATGATATTTTTGTTAGTATTTACTTAAATTTTCAAATCTTAAAATTAAGTATTAACTTTTTTAATAAAAATGATTTAATAATAGTAGTAGTGAAAGCCAGTGAATTACAATGAATAAATACTATAAAATAATTTATAAAAAAAAATGGTCAGTATATTTTTCTCTACGAAATTAGTGTAGTTGAATTAATTTACTTTAATTAATCAAGTTGATATTTATTATTTGAAATTTTACATTTTTATTTCAGCGTGATTAGGCAAAAATAGAAAAAGTATGCAAGTTTGGGAAGGGTTACTCCTACTACTCAACTATCTCTCTCATTTTCATTTCAATTTCAACTTCACTATATTATTATAATATAAGATATTTACGTGTATATATGGTGAACTCCTATTATAATGTAAATTAATTTGACCAAAACTACTTTTTTCTTTGTTTTTATTTTTTATTTTTTTAAAAAAAAAAAGACGTGTAGCAATAGTTCAAAGATATGGGAAATAGGTCTTAAAAGACAATGATTTTTAAGATAATCTTTTTTAATAATTTGCTATTCTCTGAAAGAAGAAAAAAATTAATCTTATCCATGTTTTAATCAAATCAAATCTATAAGCACCCATTTAGTGGCTATTGGTCTTCATAATCAGTTCACGAGAAGAAACTAAAGATATAAATATATATATATATATATATAATACATGTATATGTATATATAGCTCAAATTTTATTCCACATTTGCTTATTACAAACCTAAATAACCCATTACAGATCTTGAGCTTAGTTATTAATTTAACATTCAAAAAAAAAAAAAAAAAAAGGAAAAAGAAAAATGCAGAGACAATATTATAAGTTAACCCAAATTCTTCAGACCGTTGAAACTCAAACACTGCTCTTAATAGCAGAGCTAAAGCCCCTGTCATGGAACCTAGACCAGAGCATAACACCTCCATATTTCGGTGACCTCTTGATATCTGGTAATATCTGAGAAATCACCACATTCGCCGGAACAAATCCACTTCCGGCTGCATCCGGCGAAGCTGGCAATCCCAAAAATATCTTTCCCGCCGGCATTGACGTCCACGTATTCCAAGCACTCTTCAGACTCGCCCCATTGCCGGAAAACTGACAAGGAGGATTATTATAAAACTGAACCCACACATAATCGAACAGCCCCGTTCGAATCGCCGTGTCGAGCTTAGCATCTGGGAAAGGACACTGTGGAGCCGCCGACAACAAAACTTTTCTTCCCCCACTGAACCCTCTCAAGGCTCTGGCTAATACGTCCCAGTGTTGGTTCGTACCAAGCTCAATATCAAAATCAATACCATCCAAAACGGCGTTGCCGAACGGACGGGAGCTGGATTGACCGCCGAGGAAAGTGTTCCAGAGAAAGTTAGCCACTTGCCGGGCGTCATCGGCGGAGGAAAGGGTGTAAGTCCCGACGCCGCCGCCGAGAGAGAGCAAGACCTTAATCCCGAGTCTCTGACAAGTTTTGATCTGATCAGCAAAGCGTATGCAGCTGTTGGGAGTTGGTGGGTCACAGTGGCCGGCGAGATTGAGCACTGGGGTCTGACCGTTTCCGAAAGCAACTAAGAAGGCTATGTTTATGATACCGTAGTTGCCGGAGGAGCAAGCGTCGGCTAAGCTGCCTTCGTTGCCGTTCTGGCCCCAGTATGTGGAGATGACGCCGGCGCTAGAGCCGCCGCCGATGAGACTGGCGGCGGCTAAAAGGGAGAGTAGAGTAATTGGCGTTAGCTTTTGGAGTGCCATAACAATTGGCTGGTGATTGGTTTAGCTTATTCGTTGTTTGATTGGCTTAGCTATTCCGGATTTATAGGGAATGTTTGGCAACGATTTTTTTTTTTTTTTAAATTTGGAATTAAGTATTTGGATGATCAAAATGGACCGTTAATAAATTCAATATAATAAATTGAATTGGGTATGAACATAAAATTCTGACTCGACTTCCTTCCAATCAAATAAAAGTCTTTAGCTATGGCTGTGACCCGGTCCTACAAATTCCTCATGCACAATGCATAAAATTCAATTTTTATTATTTTAAATATATAAATTCAAAAATAAAATTTACATAACCACCACCAAAATTATTTAATTGTTAAGATTATTGTGATTTATTTAAAAATTATATCATTAATTTATGAGTATATTATAAAATAAAGTAATAATAATATAAAATTTAATTAAGTGGGGTTTTAAATTTAATTTATTAATAAATTAACAAAATTGTAACGATTAAATTAAATTTTATTCTAATAAATTATGATATTTTTAAATATCTCACAATTATAATAAATTAAAAAATTAAATATGATCTGTAATTAAAAAAGAAAATAAAATAACGACAGTAATGCCATTGGGATTGTATTAGTGGGCGACCAGCTGTAAATAATTTGTAGAAAAAAAAAAAAAAAATTGAAGCTGTTGACTGAGGGCGGTTGACCCACCCAACTCAATTATGCTGGTAAGACTTTTATAAGCATTTGCAAAATCCCAAAATTTACGCCCGATTGATGCTATTTTAAAATTTTATAACTATTCTAATGAATTATTTTAAATAAAATTTGAAATTTACGCTAAAGTTATTATTAATAATAATATTTTAATTTTTATAATAATCTTGAAATAATATCTAAAATTAAATCATAAGTGATTCTTTTAACGAATAATTACAATAATGTTTGGTCAATTTAAATAGACCAGATCAGTCCAGGCCTTATACCAGATTCTGGGCCTTAGGCCCACTTGTTACTGCTCTGAATTGATAATGGGAATTACCTTCAATCTCAGGCTTCAAGGACAAGGAGAAAAAAAAGGGTTACCGTTAGCGGATAACAAGCTTACACGTGTACAGAATAATCCAGACACTTCGCGGGCTCGAAAGATCTCGAAAATGGAGGAAAGATATTTCTTGATCAAGTTTTCTATTTGCTCCGTTTATAAAAACCAGTATCCGACGCGTTGCAATCTCAGAAGAAAAACTATACAAAGCAAAATTCTGAGATCGTAAAGAGAGGACACAAGAGCTAGAAATCTCGCCATTTCGGGTTGGTGGACTGTCGTACCGATAACTGAGTTATTTGGATTTGTGAAACGCTTCGGGGGTTCTTTTTCTGCTTTTCATTTTATTGTAAGTGATATTTCTTTTCTCCTTGCTCGTAATTGTTTAGTTGTTAAACTTTTTTGTGTCGAATTTATTTTATGTTCTTCTATTTCTGCCTTATTTCTGAGGTACTAAACTGATAATGTTGAGATGGAAAAGAGACGATGCGTTGAAAACTTCAAGCATATAATAGGAAATCCTCAAGTGCTTGTATTAGCATTTTGGAATTCTTAGGAACTTTATTTGAAATATAGCATTTTATTAATGATCAGTTGATTTGAAATAGGGACTTCTGGTTTGTAGAACCTAGTTGAGTTGACCTAAAGGTGTTTATTTTTTTTCTTTATTCATCGGTGTTAAAACCTCCATTATGATATCCCATGTCCTCTCTGTAGATGCAGCAAACGAAAAAATAAAAATAAACATAGTAGTAGTTACAAACCAGTAAAAATAGCATGGTCGTTGAATACGGAAACTGATACCAGGAAAGAGAATTACTAGATTTCCAGCTTAAGTTTTCACTCAGAAAAATGGAGCTCCTATCACTTAAACTAGTCCTTCAATAAGGACCAAATATAGACAGCAAGAGTATTATAAGTTGGTTTAGTAATGAAAATTTGATGTGTAATTTAGGTAGCTTTAGGGAACACGATAGATTTTGGTTCGATATGATTGTTTTCCTCGGTAAATACTAGGCAAGCAAGCCAGTAATTCAACTAACCAATATTTTACTTCAAAAAAAAAAAAAAAGTTGTATATGAGAAGATGTGTCCACGTCCAACCGTCGTTTGGCACAATCTAGATTTTGCTTTTGGGTTTTGGTTCTGTAAATATAATCTTGATTTGATAGCCCGTACGATTCTTCATCTTCTCCTTGGATAGTTTGTGTCTATTCTCTAAATGGTTTTGTAGTAACTAATTTTTATTTTTCTCAGAGTTAAAAACTGTTTTTGGCTTTTGATATCCTGCGGTTCTGTGAGCAAGGAATCACAAATTTTTGAGAAGAACTGCACTCTTGCCTTAAAGGAGATTTCTAAAAATGATGCCGGGTTACAGGTTCATGGATTCGTACCCTCACCAAATGAACCAAGTGCCGTTACCTCATTATTACTTTCCAGGTTTCGGAAATATTCCACCTCAGATGAGAGTGGATGCCTTCAGATGTCCCATGAAGGATGATATTTGGCCTACTGGAGGCAACCATGAACACATTCCATGTCATGGTTGTTGCAACCATGGATGCTCCCGAGACTGTTATGGTTTCAGGCCACCTTTCCCGGCAGTGCCATCTTTCAATGGCTATGGAAATTATTTCATGTATCCCCCTCCTTGTAATATCCCCACTTATTATGTTCCTCCACTCCACTTGTCAACAGAGCAGCCTCGGTATGAATATGAGAAGTATGTCCCGAATAACTATCATTGCTGTGGATGTCCTACTCACATGTGTAACCAGAAAAGTGACGGAGGCGTGAAGATTGAAGAGCAGGAGCCCGAAGTAGAGAAGAGAAAAAATGATTTTCCACTTCCAGTACAGACAAAAGGTATCCCGTATCCAGTTGCGTGGGTTCCTCCTGAATACATGCAGAATCAACGATTACAGAAGCTTCTTGAGTCAGAGGTGACAAGTCCAAACGATGCCAAGCTGAAGGACATTCCAAAGCCTCCTGAACGCGAGCCTAAGACTTGGAGTGGCTGGATTCCATATGATATAAACAACCTAAGGCCTTTGACTCAAGATTGGAAGAAAAACCAAAGTACGCAAGGTGAAGAAAAAGTTAGACAATTTCCATTTCCCATTATCTGGATGCCTTCTTATGGCAAGCAACAGGAGGATGAAAAGAAAGGTGGTGGAGAAACTAACTCTGCTCCAAAATGTGCTGACGAGCAATCTTCCAATTTTAAGTGCCTTCCAGGTAAACTCATTAAAGCTGATCATGAGATGGACAAATCCCGAAAAAATGAAGAAATTTCTGGCAATACTGCTGACTCAGGGACACAGGAAAGAACCGTCAAGCAGAAAAGCATCCCTGTGAGACAATTAGACAAGCATGATGAGAAGGACAGCAATGAAGATAGTAATCAAAAGATGAAAGATGTTAGTGGGAAGCTTGGAGAAGACAATAAAAAGGATAAACTTAATAAACCGTCTGAAAAGAGTACGAGAAAGGGGTCATCATCTCCACTGAAAACTTCTCATTTGCCTCCTGTTTGTCTTAGAGTCGATCCCTTGCCAAGGAAAAAGAATGGAAATGGCAGTTCAAGATCTCCTAGTCCTCCTTGTCATAAAGGCCGAACATTAGAGACGGTGAAAGACTGTTGTAAGACCCCAGCTTCTCCAAGCTCCAATGACAATATTGAACGTGATGAAAAAACTCAGGGTGATACCCATCAACAGAGCAATGCATTGGAGCCAAATGTGACGGAAAGAGAAAATACCCTGTCGATGGGTAAGACGGCAGAGTACGACAAGGAAAAGGAGCTGAAGATTGAATCTGTGACCCAAAGTCCTAACATATTTCGTTTTAATTTTCAAGGAGACGGGAAGAAGGACCTAACCTTCGATGGAGTTCAAAAAGACAAAGCTGAATATGGAAGTCAAGTAAACAAGAAAACATTACATCAGAGTGGTTCGGTAGTTGATGAGACTGCTGGCACAAAGGAAGCAACAAAAGCTGAGTATGTTGATGGTAAGTGTTCTAAGGCAGTGAGAAGGAAATTATCAGATGTAGACGCAGCCATCCTCATCCAGTCCGCCTACCGCGGGTATGAGGTGAGAAAATGGGAGCCGCTGAAGAAATTGAAGCAAATAGCTAAAGTCCGTGAGCAGATGTTTGAAGTTAAATCTCGGGTCCAAGCTCTGGAGATCTCTTGTGATCTCAAGAAAGATGATAGGCAGAGAGTGGTAATTGGAGAAATGATTATGAACCTTTTGCTAAAATTGGATGCTATTCAGGTATGTAACCAATATAAGTTTATGTTACATTTTCAAATTATAAAATCTTTCTGCACATTTATGCGTGTAGTTTTAAAAAATGTTCTCAATAGGCAGTTGTTGGAGAATAGCATTGTTTCTTTTCTGTCTGAATCAAAAGATTGATAATTGCGTCTATTTGTTTATTATACATGAAAAGCTATAGGATGACTAGAACATATACATGCATAAACACGTAATTGGACTTTATGCATGCGCTTACTTCAGTCTATAGGCACAGCACCTGAATTTTCCCATTAAATGTGATGCTTATGCTATTCCTTTTTTATTTAAGGGTTTGCACCCAAGTCTCAGGGACTGGAGGAAGTCCTTGGCTAGGGAGCTCGTAGCTTTACAGGAGAAGCTTGATACACTTAGGAAGCCAAAAGAGGAATTAGGGGAGTTGTCGACTGCTAAATCCATTAACGACCTTACTGTGGATGCTCTGAGAGTGGAAGGAGTTGAGAATAAAGAGGCAAAAGCTGGGGAAAGTTCTGATAAAAATTGTTACAATAATATTGACAAGTTGACAGGTCCAGGTCAGGATGAACTTCGAGATGGAATATCTAAGCCTTGTGGCAGTGAATTTTCAGAGCCAGTTTATACCAACATGGAAGTTCCTGGAATATATAAAGATGAAATCCATGAAGCACCAGTTACGGATAGAGTGGCAAAACCAGTTTTCCTATGTGCTGAACATCAAGTGGCACAAGTAATGCCAACTACAGCATCGGAAATTAAGGCTAACTATACTGAACCTGATGTTGCTCAAGTGGAAACAGCAGGGACGTGTGAAACAGATGAAACTTCTGTGAAGCTTGAGCAATCCTTGCAAGACCCATCTGCTAAAGAAGAGAAAACAAACTCAAAGGAAGATCAATTTGCAGAGACATTGCTCGAGGAATCACATCATGATCTGGACGAGGAAAATTCAAATTTTGTGATAAGGGAGGGTGATGACTTCAAACAATACGAGGTTATGGAACTTCCACAGAATGTGATAAGTGAAGGCCATGCTGCTGCTGAATTGGAAGAAAATATTAAAGGCAGAGAGCAAGGAAATAAGATTGAACATGGTAAAAAGGATGAGCTTGATAATTTAATAGATGTAGAGAAGGATCCAGAACTTTTGGAACTGCCTCTAGGTGTAATTGATGAGGATGAGGTTGATGAGAAGCGAGAACTATTCGGATGTGGGGGTGATATTCTTACAGGAAAGCAAAGTACTCAGGTGGATGAAACTCCTACCCAGTTCTCTTTCTATGAGAAAGAAGCTGAATTGGACAATTGGGTTAAAGTTGGGGAGGAGGATCTGTACACGGCCTGTAAAGTAGAGATGGATCAGTCACGGAGAAATGAAGTACACGATGAAAATGATCCTTTGATAATCCGTTGCGAAGCAAAAAGTGATGCAGGAAAACAAGCTAGTGATCAAGAGCATAGAGGAGAAAATGGTGATGGATTGACAGGCAATAACAAGTCTATTTGTGAATCAGCAGCCAAAGGTGCCAATGTTGAAGATTCATCTGAGGAGATAGAAGAAGAAATGGAACAGCAAATGGCAAATGTGCAATTCGAAGAACCTGAAAGTGTGCCTGGGGGAGGAAAGAAGATAGTTGATCTGCTTGTTGGCTCTGAAACCGCCAATAAAGAAGTCCCTGTG